CTAAAAATCAAAAGGGGAAAAAGTATTACTTAGCATTTAAAACAATTTGCATTTACTTGTAGCAAAAGCCCATAATGGGATTCGTTTACATTTGATTACGCTCGGGTGGATCTAATACCAGAACGGGCGCATTCAGACAAATATTTATAGACATATTTGTACAGCTCTTGCTCTTCTCCAGTTTTGGATTCCACTTCATTGGTTTGTTGTACTATTTCGAATACTCGAGCTCGCCAATTTTATCTTTTCGCTGTCTTGGGCAGAGAGTTAAAGTAACATCAGCATCCTTGCTGATAGGATTAACAACGCACACAAATACAAGCGCATATTTGAACACAATCGCATCACAATACAACGTAAAAACAAAAACGAGAAAGAAGTGCTATCTTCGGCACACCGAGGATTTAATACCCTTGCAGACCCAACCTTTTCAAAATGCTTATAGTGCTTTGCCCGTATCTAAGAAGCACAGGGAAAATAAGTAGTTAATGCCGAGTATGGTTAAGATATCATGAAAAACAAAACAGGTTTCCGTACAACAACTTAATTTTCGACCGATCGTTCCTATGGTAGCTATATGATATAGTAGCCCGATGTGAATAAGATTTTGCAAAAGTGGAGGGAGCATAGTAAAACTAATAAATGCCGAGTTTGGTCAAGATATCTTGAAAAACAAAAAAAATTCCATACAACAGCATAATTTTCGACCGATTGTTCCTATGGCAGCTATATGATATAGTTGTCCGATCTTAATAGGATTTTGCATATATATGGGGAGCGTAGTAAAACTAAAAAATACCGAGTTTGGTCAAGATATCTTGAAACACATAAAAATTTTGCATACTTAAAACTTAAGACCGATCTTTCCTATGGCAGCTATATGATATAGTTGTCCGATCTTAATAGGATTTTGCATATATATGGGGAGCGTAGTAAAACTAATAAATACCGAGTTTGGTCAAGATTTCTTGAAAAACATAAAAATTTTCCATACAAAAGCTTAATTTTCGACCGATCGTTCCTATGGCAGCTATATGATATAGTTGCCCGATCTGAATAGAATTTTTCATATATATGGGAAGCTTAGTAAAACTAATAAGTACCGAGTTTGGTCAAGATATCTTGAAAAACATAAAAATGTTCCATACAAAAACTTAATTTTCGACCGATCGTTCCTATGGCAGCTATATGATATAGTTGTCCGATCTTAATAGGATTTTGCATATATATGGGGAGCGTAGTAAAACTAATAAATACCAAGTTTAGTCAAGATAACTTTATAAACAAAAATGTTTTTCATACAAGAACCTACTTTTCGACTGATCGTTCCTATGGCAGCTATATGATATAGTGGTCCGATCCAGCTGGTTTTGACATATGAACTGCGTGCAACAGAAAGAGGGACTTCTGCAAAGTTTCATAAAGATAGCTTTAAAACTGAGAGACTAGTTCGCATAGAAACAGACAGACGGACAGACGGACATGGCTATATCAACTCGGCTGTTGATACTGATCAAGAATATATATACTTTATTGGGTCGGAGATGTCTCCTTCTATGCGTTACACATTTCACGACAAAATTATAATACCCTCTGCAAGGGTATAACAAGAGGGAACGTTTTGCTCGCTAGTGTATGACAAGTAGATACCCTGTATTCGGTATTCCTTTATTTATACATAAATCAATACAAGCACGTATTTCACATGCTGCGCTCTTAATTCCGGAGCTGTGCTTTTTCTTTCCTTGGTTTAACACGATGAAAAGTGGAGTCTTTTATAACTTCAGGGTTTATAGTCCGATCTTTTTGAAATTTTCAGCGCTATTTCTCTGCAATTGCATTTTCGTCTAATTTGGCTGTCGTGTGGAGGTATAAATAAATAGATAACTTGGATCTGTATTTATATATATACTCCAAGGTACGCTGCATTAGGAGAAGTTAAGTTCAAGTCTCTAACTCTTTTAGAATCCGATATCGACGGACACACAATCAAACATGGGTAGATAAAATACAAATTAAAACTATTGATACTGACTATGATTATACGTATCTTATAAGGTAGAACATGCATACTTTTGCCTTTAACATACATTTGCTCGAAATCATAATACCCTGTTTTACACATTGTCAATGGGTATAGAGTATAATAAAAATACAAAACCAATGCCAAAATACATAAAACTCGCCGCGCTGCTTTTTGCATGATGCCCCCTGTTTTTGCCTGTGGCAGCCACCGAACCGAGGAACCCAAAGAACATAAGGATGAACAATGTGCACAAAATGTTATACAAATATTGTAGAATGCTTGTACACGAGTGTGTTTTGCTTAGTACGTTGTATTTTGGTATTTAGTTTTGTTGTTTGATGGCTATGCTTGGTTATTTTTGGGGCATCACTTCTCATTGGGGAATTGCGGGCGAGCTTGTAACAACAATGGGCAGGAAGGATTATATGGGTATTTGTGAACAACAAAGGAAGGCTACGCGTTGTTTGTTAAATAATTGTGTTCCCTTATATATGCTTTTTGTAATGAAAATTAAAGAGGAATTGTTCTTAACAAGTTTTTAATCAAAGGAACTAGCGCATCAGGATAAAATTATTATACGTGCGGCATATTTTACAATTTCGAAATATTACTGCAGGAAGTTAGTTAACTTTACCTTCTATATTGGAAAAGTTTTAATCTTGAATGAAAGTGTGTGTTTTCTTTTTGGAAGGAACACGCACGACTCAGCACGATGTAAACTTAGAGTCCGTGTTGAGTATGTTAACACGATTTAGGACTACCTAACACGCGCTTTATACATAATAATAAATAAAATAAACCAATATTGATTAGGTATAGTCTGGGTAAAAGTAGAAACTTAAAGTTCTCCATTGAGTCTTAAACTACAGTTAACGATTATTATTACTATTAATGGAAAATTAGAAATTAGGGCACCTTGTAAATGTTGACAAAAAAAGTGTACGCTGAACTTGTGACTCCAATCAAACTTGCATTTACGAGATATTTTTGTCAACTTTAAGTTTGTCGCAAAATAAGTAACGCATAGCAGGAGACGTCTCTGATATAATTAAGTAAATGTATATATATGTAGCCTTTGTAAGTATCAAGACAAATTTCTATCAATATCGGAATATCGTATTGAAGAATCGGTAGGAAATAATGTTTTCGTATTTTATTTCTAAGCAATATGTCCAATAGGATATTTAATCTTTGTGTGAAATGTAAAATCGAATGTCTGCAAATAACTCAAAAGTTATTTTAAGTATGTATATATCTTAAAGTTTTCAAGCAGCTGGGGTAACTTGCACTTAACCAGTTCCAAAATAAAGTTAAAATGCGTAGACTTGAGTAAATAGAGAGCTGCATCTGCCCATGAGAACTTCTAACTTACATAACCAATTCAGAATGTTGAAAGTGTGCTTGAGCCACAGAATATTCATAAGCTTTTCATTTATTTACCATCCTTAAAGTAATTTTCGGTTTTCATTGCATTCACCACAAGTAGCCGGCACTCAAAAGCGTTTGCCCTGACCAACAAGTGCTATTGAATATGCTCGTTAAGCGAAATGCTCCAAAATTCAGAGTCTTCTCTTACTCCGAGCTTTGGCTTTTCCATTTTCCCAGCCCACAAGCGATGGCTACAAACCCCGCCAAGGGAAGTCTGTGAAATGGGGGAAAAGTAAGGAATATGAAGGCAGTTCACAAACAGCGAAATTTTGCGCGCATTTTGCACGTGTTGCCATTTGCCTTTTGCATAAATAAATAAATATAAAACTGTTATGCAGGTGTGTTGTCTGTGTGCGTATGTGTGTGGGCCATTTTGAGGGCTTGCTGCTGTTAACTTTTAGCGCCTGTCTTTTGTTACCTACTTAAAGGCGTCTCGGTCCCATCAGCCCATCAGCCACTCCTCATATCTTTTGTCCCTCTCCTCGCTCCTCTGCTGTCCTTCGTCCTTTCCCCGCTCCGCCGACGCATTCAATCTCTCATATTATATTCACATTGCGTGTGCGTAGTACCTGAAATTGTTTGCCGCACTTTAAGAAGGTATTGGGGTGAACGTTAGCTAAGTCTTATTTAATGTGTCGATGATTCAAGTTATTGAAAAAGCAGTGCTTCTGCTCACACTTGGAGCTTATCAAGATGGTAGAAAAAAATGAAGTGGCTTTAAGTTAATATCTTTCAATTTCGATTAACTTAATGTTGTTTAATGGAAAAATGTAATAATGTTAGAGTATATACAAATGAATGTGAACATAGAACCAAAGGCACTTGCAATATTGATGAATACTGAGTTTGAGTTCTTGTTTTTAAAATAAAAACTTCATATTTTTAAAGCGACTTTCAAAAAGACATTGAGATTTTAAAAGAATGTTATTATGGTTTCTTTTTCATTGATATTTAGTAGCTCGGCAAACATAACTTATTCAAGATTAGAACTCTCGAGAAATTAGTCGATTTGATATATCCATCTCCGTCTGTCAGTTTCTCGGCAAACTAGTTTCGTAAGTTTAAAGCTATCCTAATGAAAATTGGATATTTTTCTAGATATTTTAAATAAAATAAAAGAAATGACGAGCTTTACAATTCTACTCACATATCTGGTAAGCAGCAAGCCATAATTCGACAAGGGTATTTAATTTTCATAGTGTTAAAGATAGCCGTTCTTTATATATTTGATAGCCATTGTATATTTTGGGTAAGAGTATGTAACAGGGAAAAGAAAGCATCTGCGAAGGTATAAGGTACATATATTCTTAGGTTCTAAGAACTAAAGTCACAAAATTCCACATGTAGGTTGTGTATATATAGTATACACAAAGCTTGAGCAAGGGAACCTTTCCCTGCAGCTGCTTCCTGTTTTTCTAGAAGAAGGTTTATGGTATCTCCCAGTCGGTCACTCCCGACTGGAGTACTCTTACTTATTTGTTTTTTTCTTTTAAGGAGTAATTGCTTAGTTTATCTAACTGTTTTGTTTTGTCTCTACTATTTGCAGGTATGTGGCGACCTTGACCAACGACGACTTCGTAATTGGTGTTTTAACATGTAAGTCAACAAACGCGCGACAAATTTCATTAGGTTGAAGTGAAATTTGCTTATATGGCAAATGTTTATATTATGTAGCGCAGTGTATTGTGTGGGCAATGCAAATGCATTCACTTTTCGATTACGTCATTTGTAACGCGCCCAAAGAGCTAACCAATCAATTAATGGCCAAATCACATAATGCATGTAAACGATAATGAAAATGACATTTGCGAGAGTAACACGCAACAACAACAACAACGAAAACAACGACAGCAACAACAATAACAACAACGCGAACATTGCTGCGGATGCAAATACATTCCGCAGAGCCACAAGGGGAAACAGAAAAAAAAAAACTTAATTAATGAAATTACGCGTGCAAATGCAAACGAGTGTAACTTAGTGGGTGTGTGTGTATGTGTGGCTGTGTAATTGCATGATTGGGTAACTATACATATGTGTATACATATACATATATACAAATGTAACTGTGTTTGCACTTATTTGGGGCTTAGTCTCACATGGTTGTTGTCCAGAATGCTCTGCATTTTAGTTTTGCCGTGTTGTGCATGCTCATGGCACAAGACAATCGATTATAATCTCACCTACCCCCAAAAACACCTTTCAGTGGGCGTTGTGGGCGTGACGCTTGCTAACTATTCTGACATTTTGGCCGTGTCATTTCGGTGCAGGCCGAGGACTGTCGCTCATTATCCATATTAATGTGTTATATATTTTAACCTTTATTTAAAAATATTATATATTTTAGGTAGGCTTTTTTCCACTTTGAGTGCCATTAAAGAAAACATTTTAAACTGGCTTGATAACATTTTGGAAGCATTAGACGCGATTTACGCTCGTGAACTGCATTTAGCCCGAAATCCAATTCAACTCAAAGTATATTTACTTATATCTATGCGCTTTTATCATTTTGCTTTCCTTTTTATACCCTGTACCTATTTAAAATGGGTACAGGAGGTAATATGACTTTGGAAATGTATGCAACAGGCAAAAGGAAGCGCCTCCGAACTCATAAATAATATATGTTCTTGGTCAGCATAAACAGTTGAGTCTATCTAACCTAGTCCACCTATAGAAGGTAGAGACTTGAATCTTTTAACGTAGGTCCTACTAGTTTGATATCACCAAATTTGATATTTAGTAGGTAGTATGGTATATAAAGATCATGTGTACTTTGCTTTGGATCAATAAAACTATCATACTTCTTTACCCATTAATAAATTGGTTTCAAAAGTGTAAAGTGTTAGCGAGCGTTGCTAGAAGACGGTTTAGGGTATTTCGAAGTCGGGCATTCCCGCCCAGAGCCTTCTTACTTGTTTTTCCCTGGGTGTTGTGCAAATTTATTGGTTTTCGCGGGCATTACTTTATTTTGTTTTTGTTTTTTGTGCTTCTGGGCTTAGTTCGCGTGTTACATTCGCCTGTAAATAGGCAAACGCTTAAAAGCGAAAAAACAACATATATAATAGAATATAATTAAAGCTGTCTGCCTTGTTTTGGGTCTTGGGCTGGGAATAAGCCAGACACCTACGCGGAGACATGGCGTGTTTGTTTGCTTTTCGCTTTTGCCCGTGTCGTGGCTGTTCTTTTGTTTTTTTTCTTCCCTCTTCCCTTCTTGTTCTCTTCATTAGTGCCATTGCACCCGGCTGGAATCGAAAAACAAGAAAAGAGGAACGCGCATAAAGAATCACTGGCCGACTGTCGCCTAATGCCCCAACGCTCCAAATGTGTGCTATTCCTCTATGAGGTCAAAAACAATCGATTTTCATTTCATTTTCTTTTTGTCACTTTTTCTTTTGTTTGGCCCGATTCGTTTTTGGCTCACGTGCTGCTAGTAAAAACTATTTATGAAATCACGGCGAATGCTTTAAACAAATATATACATATATATGCTTGTCACACGCTGCGTATGAGTAATGCTCTGACTGTCAGCTGTCTCTATGAGATTTTCTAATCATGCAGGTGTAAGTAATTAGCTTTTTGTTTCAGGTGTAAAACATTTGGTTTTTATTTCTTAGCAGAAAATTACCTTAGTCGAAATGAGCAAATATTGCTCAAAAGTTAATAACTATAAAATTAAAAGATGTCGGAAACTGTAACACTTTTAGATTTGTTGTGCTGCCAATTTCAGCATTAGCAGTCTAAATATTGTGCCACACTTTTTAACTACCGCCCATCAGGATAATACTTTCAATTTTAAGAATTCTTTTGCCTTTCCTGAACCTATTTAAATTTATGCAACGGAAATTTTCAAACATTCCGCACACGTGCCTGTCACAGCAAGACGGGATTAGACCAACAAAAGTTTGTCAGTTTTAAAGCTTTAAGTCGAAAATTGTGAAACTTTAGCCTTATGGGAACGCAATTTAACAATTACAAGCCAAACAAAAATAATCTATATTGTTGTATAGGTATGTATGCATGTAAATATGGGCAGGCAGCTTAATTTGATATTTCCGTGACCAATGTAATTATATTTGTGGTCATAATAATAGCCATATTGTGTTGGCGTTGTTTTATAAGTACAAAAATGTGTCTGCAGTTGTTTGAGTATCTATATCCCTATACATATAAACATGCACATAAATATAATTTTAATACATACAAATTAATGACAATTCCTATATATATATATTAATATTTTTTTTTTCATAAAAATGAAAGTTGAGCTGGACCTGTTTCTCAATAGTTACATAACTATATCTATAATTTTGTTTTGTGTTTTAATGCAATTTTTGGGATTAGTTAATATGCCTCGTAGCCTCAGATACTTTTAATGTAGCGTGTTTGGTCGACATGACCCGTTTCCAGTTCGAACTACACGTACTTGTCGGAAAGTAGTTTTGTTACTCAGCTTTCTGCATTATTTATTTATGTCAATGGACAATTCAATTGTATTTTCTTTAGCCGCTTTGTGAGTCATATTCAATGTTCACGTTCTTACTTCAGCTCTCAATTAGCCTAGATAGTTAGTTAATTCCTTCTTTATCAGTCGAACATTTGTCCACGCAGTATATCCACATGAATGTTACCTATATTAGATCTAATACCATACTTAATTTGTTAATGTTTGTCTTTGGGCATTTATTACTGAAAGCTATTTCACATGAAATAATAGTTTTATTCCCTTTGTTTTAATTTCTGGCCAATGAAAGATTTCTACTTAATTAAATTGCCATTTTAAAGAACCGTCAAAAAAAAAAAACATTGATAAAGGTTAGGTAGTTACCAAAATGTCTATACTACATTATTATCATCAAAAATGTTCATGCCAATTATGTACGAATAAGTGTTTAGTGTTCCTATCTAATCAAATAGTTGCTTAACGTTCTTGTTGAACAGGCTATTAGTAAACTTTTTGGGTAATGCCCTGATTATCACAACTCGATTAAAATTTGATTATTCATGTTTATAAGTTTCATAAAAAAAATGTAATTTTATTTTTGTAAGGCAAGACTTTTTAGATTTCAAGGTAAAAAGTATAGCAGATAAATAAATTCAATTTTCCTTCACCCAACTTAGATTCTATTCGCAGACATATCAATTGTACTTGGAACAACATATCAATTCCACTCTATTGGAATAAATACAATTTTTTAAACGATCAGCCAGATTTTGGTGTATAATAAAATTAATATCTTATCTACAATACGAAATCAGTTTGACGTACTACAAAAAGTCATGCAATAGATTCGTTAAATTGCATTTTAAGAACTTCAAAAATGCAGTAGAATCAGTTCGGTATAAAGCATAAAAGTATCGATAGTTTTATTGAGTACTCTCTATCTCCAATTCGGAAAAGAAAGTACTGAATAAAGTGATTGTTATAACTGTTTTTTTTGTAGCTTAGTAGTATTCAACGAGTTCTTACAATAAAATTCTAATAATTATGCACATAATTTTACCAGATGTATTAATATTTTTATTGTTGCTAAATCAAATGATTGATTCGGTTTTTATTTCCATTTTGTTGCTTTAAGGCACATTTAATCAGTGGAAAATCAAAAACTATTTAAGCAGAGTTTGCGTTTTTGTTTTAATCTTAGCATCAGTTCTAAGGGGAGGTATGAGAGATAACTTTGGCCAACTGCCGTTAGCTGGCAAACCTGAACCGGGGTCTTCAAAGGATGGGATCGAATAAATAAAACTTTTATGATGCGGCATAAATCTTTCGGGGCAGACATGTCGGGCCACCTCCGAGGCGACACCCTGCGGCCACACCCATTGACGTGGCAGACCATTAAACAGTTGTAATTCATGTCGCTGCCATTTCCGTTGTCTAACCAAATGAACCAATATAAATTCAATATTTTATGAGTATGTTTTCCGTTCTGCTGGTGCTTTTTACTCTCTCTTTAGCTCTGTTACACTCTGCCTCTCTCTCTCTGTCACAAACAAGCAATGGACATTCATCAATTACTCGGCTGCCTTTTTACTTTGAGCCATTGTCAGTTGGAAATGTGTCGCTAATGTGTCTACAAGGTGCCCAGTATCACACTGTGGCCAACACCCGGCCTATTTATAGAGGCCATTAGACGACCAACATGCCAAAGTATCATCATTAATGGCACATAAGATTCAACATTGGCCCTGTCGCTCGGTTGGTCGATTTGTGTCCATGTTGATATTTATTAATGTTCAATTATCGATAATTATCTGTTTGCCTATTGTGTCTTTGGGGTCGTTTGAATCCCTCAGAACTTTGCCCTGTTTGCCGAGACCAAGTATGTGTATACAGGATACATTCTTATAAATATTTTTCTTAATGTATTTCTTTGTGTGGTAATTAGAGTGCAGGGAACATTATTGGATTGACGTCTTAGTTTATGTGCAGCTTATCTGCTAATTTCGTTCACTTCGATGAACATGCCAAAATCTCTAATACGGAATACATTTCTATTACTTCAAGATTTTATTTTATTATTTTTTGAATCCCTAAATCGCGTACAAAGAATTCAATGATGTTAGATAATTAGAAAACACATGGAAAATGTATTTAA